ATAGAAAGTACATCTATAGTTTATATGCTCTATTATTATACAGAAATTATCTTTGCTCTATTTATCTCTCTTCAATATATCTATATATATATAATACTGTCTTGTATGATACATAATGAAATATTTATTAATATCCATATTATATACACACTGTTTGTCTGTTCTGATGATGATGTAATTGTTTTGCTTAATGTAATTTCTACATTAACATAAATATACATTTTCTTTTTTCATCTTTATCAATTGGTTATTTCTACATATACTGATATTAAACCAACAATGTTTTCTTCTCTCATTTATTGTAGTTGTTAGTTTTCAATTCATTTCTTCATCTTCATAACTTTTCTAATGTTCTTCGTTACTTTTCTTTTGTTGTTGTTGTTGTTGTTGTTGAAAATAACATACATTATTCTATAGACACTGAAACATTTATGATAAAATTTGTTCTTTTGTAAAATTTATTCATTTCATATACATCATACTTTATTGTTTCAATTCACTTTGTGTATTCTATGTACATAAGTCTCTTTGGAATTCATCTATTTTGTCAATGAATTATTTCATTTATTAATAGTATTATACTCAATACTGTGAAATTCATCATCTAGATATATATATACCTACTGTTGTTTCACCATGAATGATATTGATGTTTTTCTACTGTTCACCAGTTAATTCCTTATTATATTATATTGTAAATGAAACATATGTATACGTGTTTATAGGTGTATAATCCAGAAATGAATAGTCTCTTGCAGTGTTATTAGTAGTAGATTTTGCCTGTTCTAATTATTATTGTTATTATACTGTTGTTTTTTTAAATTTATTTGGTAATATCTACTGAAATAATTCTATATTTTAAGGGTGTTAGTGTATTGTTTAATAAAGATGAAATAGAAAACCTACTTTTTACAATCGTTATGATCATAATTCGAGAATATTATGATTTCGTCAGAGGACTTTTTTTTATTTATTACCCCCCTTTCATCTATTCTATAAATACTATGTAGTCACATTTTTTATTATTGTCTATGAAGTTAACTGTTTTGGAATCTTTATTAAAGGCAATGTGTTTTTGTTTCATTATAATCACAGGTTTAATTTATTTGTGTATACGTTTTCTTCCTATTCTTCGTATCGTTTACATCCCTGTGTCTTACATACACACACACACATCCACACTATCGCTCTTCAAAGACGCGATGCTGACGCATATTTCTCATGTGATGAATACTCCAATATATATATGGATTGTGGTTGAAAAGAACTTGTTGGTATCCGTCAGAAAAAATACTTTTCCGGGAACATATATCATTGATAACATATCGATGTGTTTTGTTTTACATATTACAAGTTTATAAGTTACATTTTTGTACTGTTTGTCAGTCCTGTCCGTATGTATGTATGTATGTATTCGAAATTGCATGTTATCATCTCATTGTAAATACATATTTTTTTGTTGCCTTTTTATATATAAATAACAAATAAAGTCTATATATTTCTTTTGGTAACAATTCTTGTTCTTAATCCTGTGTATATGATAAAAGTATATGTATGTAATATATGTTTGCATGTGTATAAATATTCTCATATATATACATTGTATACTTGTTCAGAGGAATAGACTTTCCTTTGCAGTTGTTACTACTTACATCGGTTTAAGTGTTCACCCTGGAGATATTCATATTAGACAATTATAGGTAAATCCAACCTCTTGATATGAGATCAATAATAAAAGGTGCAGCGTTTGCCGGAAAATTAACCAAAGTTGTTGGGTACGACATATTTAGTGAACATTAAAGACCCTATGGTTCTTATCGTTCACTTCAAGATGAATATGTGAACTATAGAAAAAAATGTAACGCCGGCTCAGTGGTCTAGTGGTTAAGTGCTCGCGCGCGAAGCCAGTAGGTCCTGGGTTCGAGCCCCGCGTGGTGCGGGATCGTGGATGCGCACTGCTGAGGAGTCCCATACTAGGATAAAACGGCCGTCCAGTGCTTCCAGGTTTTCAAAGGTGGTCTAGCTTCAACTGACTCATGATTTCAATCTGTGATACTTGAAATAGGTAATTTTCCAAAAGACACCTATGAGTAGATTTGAGAGTTATCATGGTTCTCTTTGGCATTAGAAAATATGTTTCATTGCATTAATTTTAGTTGTCCACCTCTAACACTTGATTAGAGTTCAAGTATGTGGATGATGAAAATGTAATTAATGCAAAGTAGAGAATGCCCTAAGCACATATGTATTTAAAAGTAGACAAATTGACTCACTCAAGGACTTGTTAGCTTTTACGTATATTGTATGCTTGGTTATACTTCCATTTGACTTACCATGCAACCTAGAGATATTAAATGACATGTCAGGCTTACTTAGTGTGATAAAAATTAACAAAGCTTTCTAAAGTAAATGTATTGCCTATTGAATCAAATAGTCACCTTCGAATAATATTTAATTCAAATGTTGTATTCACAAAATAATTGAAAGTGATGGGGCCACTGAGTTTTAAGTGTTTTAGGTGACTAAAATCGATGTATTCATTATGGGAAAATCATTCATTCTGTAGATATGAATGTACATCTATTGGATGTGTCCATGAGTATAATTATAAACTCATGTCTTAGATTGTACTACCGAAAATATCATTGAGATATAATCGCATTTATTTAATAGATATTTAATAGATAATTGCAGTAGACATACTGTTGTCCATAAATAACCAATGTCCTAGAAGTGACTAGTGGTTTTCTTTTTTTAGAAAGTACTCATTTGGAGTTTGGTCATGTGTTACCGGAGTAACTTATTAGCCGGTTGATGACGTTTTGAGTCTCTATTGACTGAGGTGGTTTAGACATGTGTCAAGTATGCCTAACCACCGTCTACATCGACAGATATTAGCTGGTGTAGAAGAAGATTAAAAGAAAGCTAAGTGAGAACAAATCAAGGCGTATCGTTGGTCAGAGAACTCCCTCACTGCTGATCTGTGACTTTTCTAGATAAAGACTACCTGGTAGTGGCGCTCGTGGTTATTGCAATCAGTAGGTTGTGACATTGAAGGATGTGGTTCAGAGTAGGTCACAACGCCTTAAATTCATTCAGTCCTCGTCTTCCCCCAGTTCCTGAGTTTCCGTATTCCTTCATCATACATTTTCATCGTGTTTTTTTTGGAATAATGTTCTTACTAGGATAGATATAGGCAGATTCAACTGAAGCTTCTTAAACAAGATGAAGCATGAATTCTAGCTTCAACTATTAACCGATTCGGTATCTAAATATCATACGTGTTTTATAGATTTTTATTGATGTGGCAATGTAACTGTTTTTGTAAAGCACTGATTATTGTCTCTTTATCTCTTCTTGTATTTGCACTTATTCGGTGTCTATTGTATTTTATTCATAATCTTGTTATGTATCAGTACTTCATATAAATCATGAACCGACTTGAAAGCACTAGACAGCCGTTTTGTTCTAGTATGGGACTCCTCAGGATTTCAATCATTTCAATAAAATTTAACAATCTTCACAATGTCGTACTGAAAATTGTCATGTGCTCACTAGTGACTAGCTTCGAAAGATAATTCTCGGCGTTCTGTGAGAAGCCGTAACCAGTGGAGTTCGACCGTGTATGTTTGATGTCAGTTACTCATCAAAGTTAATGAAGGATGACGAGAAAACATCATGGATTGGTTGAAGTTAAACATTAACCCCATTGGATCCCGATTTATCAGTCTAGGGGTTAGGCATTAGCGCACGAGTCCAAGAGTCCTGGGTTCAATTCATGCGTGTGGGATCATGGATGTGGACTGCTAAGTCCTATGCTAGGACGAAATGACTGTCCAGCGCTTCCAGGGTTTCAACGGTTGTCTAAAATCGATCAGTTCAAGGTTTTAATAATCTCTACAACCTCATGCTGTTTTGAGTATTTGTACATGTTAAACTATAATTCATTATTTTAGCATCTGTAAAATATTGCCTTGATTTTTTTATTGTTGGTATTTCAGTTACTTCTTCCCATAAACTAAATGTACTTTTGGTGGAGTTTTGTTCTCTGAGCTGGATGGTTTGGTCGTGGAGCTTTCATCGTTCTTCTGAACGACATCATCAGCACAAACTTCAAATAGAAGTGAAGTGTTTGAATTTCTCCATATGTGTTTCAAAGCTTGTTCTGTGCACCTCGATTTTGATTGGTTCTTATTGACCTTAAATTTGTCATTGTTTACTTCTTTGTTTTGGTTATGTCTCCCATTGTTTTGATTTTTGTTCTTATGTTTGTGCATGATTTTCCTGATTGGTTGATAAATTGGATTTCAATATGCTTGTTGATTGGCCTCAGTGCCAGGCCTATAAAAATTCTCTGGCGTTTTTGAAGTTTCCTCTGTCTAAGATTTCCACGTTTTTCCAATCGAAATAGTGTCCGCAGTTGTCCACGTGTATTGATATAAGTGAGGAGATATCATGCCGTTTGACTGCTAATTGATGTTCATGTAGGCGCAGGTGAAGGGGGCGCCCGCTTTGTCCGATGTAGTGTTTTTCGCAGTTGGCACAATTTATTTTGTAGATGATGTTTGATTTGTTTTCCTTTGTTATTTCATCTTTTGGTTTGCATAGGATTGATTGTAGTGATTTTGTTGGTTTGTGTGCTACACCTATTCCGAAGGTTTTCAGCAGTCTTGTTGCGGTTTATGATATTCCTTGTATATATGGTAGGGTGATCCTTTTGTTGATTTTTGTGCTTGACTTGAGTTCTCCACCATCTCACTAAATGTGCTGATATTATCTTAAATTAGATAGATTATAGCTAGCAGTGAAACCCATGATACACTTTACGTCCTACTTAAGACCCGTTGATCGAGTGTATGTGTTATTTCTCAGAGTTGATATGCACATTTAATCTTGTACCCCAGTACTTCTCACTTCAAACATCAATAAATTATCCAGTTGTTTAATAGGTATGGTGTTTTTATAATTGTCAGTAAGGATTTGAATTACCCCCGTTATTTATGTTAGAGATTGAATTCAAGATGAAAGACTTTTTTGTAGATTTAAATACTGACTACAATTTATATGTTTTAGAAAAGCTTGTAACAAAAATGAAAAAAATAAAAACTTATATCAACTACCAAATATTTCAAATCCTTAACTAGTACTGAGATTATATACATTAAATTGTCTCTATTCGTAAATATACCTATTTCCACTGTGGGTTTGTTTTTTTCTAATCATGAGTATTAAAGTCAATCCAAAAAAAATTGTCAACAAATTAACAGATTCATACTTTTTGTCTAGATGTTCACAAGAGATCTTTAACCCTTTCAAAACCTAGACTATTTGTGTATCATTCTTAAGTTTGTTCGCATACATTCTTGTTTTGTTTATTTCCTATATGCACAGTGCCCCCAAATGCCCTGGTACGATCGAGAGTGGGGAGAGTTCGTTCTCCCTCTCTAAATACTCTCACATGGTCACGCGTATATAGCCTCTGACAGGGAAGTCCTACTCACTGCCTTCTCGCGGCGGGGGTGTTGTTTACGAATATGAGAGGACGAAAAGCGAATGTCCGGCGCTTTAACTGGATTCCAAACCAATGGTGCACATTGGCTCCAGTATCCTGAGGGAACAAATGGCGTATGAACCAATTGTTGGTCATCGGCTCCCGCGGGACTGTATCTCCTTACGATGCTCCACTGCCTTGTGGATCAGACCTTCAGGTCGAAGGCTCGGGGTGTGGCTCCCTAAGAAAACCACCTGATTCAGTCTGGGCACCCGGGCAGTATCACAGCGCTCACATATATCGAATAAGATTTGTGTGGCGTATATGTATTTGATGCCTCTTTATACCAATATCTATGTGTTAAAATAATAATAATAATATATGCACAGTTACATAAATACAATTATGCTTTCTTTTCTTTTCTTTTCTTTTATTCTAAAAACAACCCCTTATAGGAGAATAATCAATTGGATATTGTTTATCAATTATCTCAACATATTCAATCCTTAACTATTAATTTACTACGTACAGATTTCAATAAAATAATCAATTCTAATGATGACAATAATAATTTAATTGATATTCCATCATTATTTTCAAATGATCAACTTATTATTCTATTAGAATATCTACGTACACTTAGACAATGGGCAGCAACTATTCCAAATTTACTCAATAATAATAATAATAATAATGATTCAATTGATAATATTAATCATTGTCGTCAAGATGTATATAATTCAATGAAATATTTATTAGATTCATTATTTTTATATTTATTTCATAATAATCAATTAAATTCATTATGGTATAAAATATCTATTAAAATACAATCAAATATTATTTTATGTATATCAATTTGTATACAAATTATTATTAATTTATTAAGTGAATCTATACAATCTATTAAATTATTTAATATTCATTCATTATTAATTATTTTATTATCAAATAATCGTCCATTTATTTGTTTAACAAATTATCATTCAATATTATGTAATCATTATGATAATTATAATCGTTTATCAAGTCATTATGCTTATTTATTATATTTATTATTATTACGTATTGAACAAACGATAAATGATTATAATAAATTGCCTAAATTAATTATACAATTATTACAAATTAATTTTATTCATAATAAAACCATTATAAAATCTATTTTAGAACAATCATGTAATACAATTCAATCTAATAATAATAATAATAATGATAATGATAATAATAATAATAATGATGATGATAATAATAATAACAATAATGATAATAATAATAATAATAATAATAATAATGATGATGATAATAATAATAATAATAATGATAATAATAATCATAATAATAACAATAATAATAACAATAATGATAATAATAGTAATAATGTTAATAATAGTAATAGTAATAATAATGATAATAATAACAATAATAATAATGATCCAACGAAAATGATTCATTATCAATTATTATTAATACAATTAATGAAAAGTTTTAATCAATTTATTAAATTATTATCATTTAATGAAATCATTATTCCAATGAATATTGATTTTATTTATTTAATAATTGATATAACTGGATTTGTATTATTATTATTAAATCAATATGAATTAATTAATTATAATGAATTATCAATGAAACCACAAAGAATTTTACCTATGAATATAAAATTATGTTTAGGTTATTGGTTATCCTATCGATCAATGTTGCATGCTTCTTCTTCTCGTCTAATCAATGATACAATGGATATATTATTGAATGAATGTTCTAGATTATCATCATTATGGATTAAAGAATTAATTGTTTGTTCTCCAGAAAAGGATTCAACTATTCAGGCTAATAATGATAATAATAATAATAATACAGTTTCCCTGCTGGTAAATTCAATCAATATATCATGTATAGAATTATTTAGTTAATTATACAGTTCATAACACTAACTGGTTTTAGTTAAGCCCTCAAATTCCCTGGTATGGTCGAGAGAGTGAGCTCTCCTTCTCGAAATGCTCTTATATGGCCATATGTATACAACCACTGTCAGGGAAGTCCTACTCACTACCTTCTAGCGACGGGGGTGTTGTTTAGAAAATTGAGAGGACAAAAAAAACGAATATCTGGCGCTTTAACGTGTTCAGTGAATATGGAGGATCCACCCACGGGAGTTGGAAAACCCTGATTCCAAACCAGTGGTATACATGAGCTTCGAGATCCTGAAGGAACAAATGACGTATGAACCTATTGTTAGTCATCAGCTACCATGGGACTGCATCTCCTAGCGTTGCTCTACTACCTTGTGGATCAGACCTTTAGGTCGAAGGATCCGGGTGTGATCCCATAAGAAAACAACCTGCTTCGGTTTGGACACTCGGGCAGTATCCCAGCCCTCACGTAAATCGAATGGTTTATGTGGCGCATATCTTTTTGGTGCCTCCTTGTACCAATGTTTATGTGTTTAAATAAAAAAATAAATTTAGTTAAACAGCCATTTGAAAACAGAAAGCATTAGATAGCCATTTCGTCTTAGTATGGAATTCTTCAACTTGGTTTTACGCATTCACAAACCCATTAGAGGTAGGATCCAGGTAATTTTCGGAATTCTAGTGAATAGCTGTAATCAGTGGAGTTATACCATAACTTGTATGAGACACTTACCAGTGGGATTGTAAAATGGCTGCACGATATCATAAATTGATTGAGTATAGAAATGTAAACCATGGAATTCGTATAGTGGTCTTAAAGTTAAGCGCTAACTAAAAGACCTAAAGATTTCGATTTCTTCTGGAGTGATGGATGTACACTATTGAAAAGTTTTGTACTATGACAAAATAGCTGTCAAGTATTTTTCTGTGTTTTTTTTTCAGTTATCTAAGACCAATCTGTGATACAAACTACAAAATCTGACATCCTTCAAAAACTCTTCATACTAACAACATGTCGGTTAACCCCAATTATTACTGTATTTGCCATGGGAATGTTAAAATATAGAAATTTCCAGGTTTCAAACACCATTAACCAGAACTTTATCAAGTCATTCATATACAATTGTATCTATCTTATTTTATGTAAAATAGAAGTGGACGAACGTATTCTATGAACTCAACGACCACATTAATATATAGATTTTTCTAGCAAGTGATAATTAATTAATATTGTAGATAAGGAAAGATGGATAGTGGCTAGCAGTGGAATCCAGGACGCGCGTTTCGTCTTGTTTGGGACTCGTCAGCTGGATGTACCTCGAACTCAGTACCATTCGCTTCAAACGCCATCGCGTTATCCACTGAGCTACTGAGTCCTGATAGCCACTTGCTTGTGCAATGGGGTGAAGTTTAATTCACTTGATATTGTTTTTACTTAAATCTTCCCATTGATGTTTTAGGACTGGAATTGATCAGTCTCTTATTGGCATATGTGCATACTGACGAGTCCCAAACAGGACGAAACGCGCGTCCTGGATTCCACTGCTAGCCACTATCCATCTTTGTTTATAATGCTTGTAAATTAACGCAATATCGAGGCACACGCACAGTATGCACATATGCCAATTAGAGACTGATCAATTTCAGTCCTAAAACATCAATGGGAAGATTCAAGTAAAAACAATATCAAGTGAATTAATATTGTAGATAATTTAAGATAATGGAATGATCAAATAAATTGCCCACTTAATTGATACCATATCATTATCATCGATTGAGAGGAGTATTTTAAAGAGGATAGAATTTTAGTATCTTAGATTTTTATAAAATTTTTATAACTTTAATTCTCATATTTATTAGACATTATACTAGTAGTATAATTGAATTATACAGTTTCAATGTGTTTATTTTTATATTTACAGCATGTAAACTATCCTTATGCTCGATTACGTGGTTTAGTTCATATACTGGCCAGTATCACTTTTTCAAATTTGGATAATAGTAATAATAGTAATTTGAATACAGATGAGAGTATTTCAACAAATTCAGAAGGTATTGATCATGATAAACAACCTGTTGATATTCAATCGTCATCATCATCCATACTATCATTTCATCAAGAAAGTAATGAATCATCAGAACAGAACATGCCAATTACACAAGAGTATGCTACTGAATTATTAAAAATTCTCTGCAATATTTTAGTGATTACACATTATGCAACTCATAAATTTGAGGAATTTTATGATTTACCTGATTCAATCAAAGATAATTTACCATTCAAGAATGATTTAGTGAAAGATTTTACTGTTTATCCATCAAAATTAGCGAAGAAAATGGTATGATTTCTTTAGTTCTCTTTTGTTATTCTGTTGTTGTGTTAATTATTTTAATTTGTACCTGTTGTGATAGAACTAGAGCGAACGGATAGCCTTGAGCGATTCCAAGATTGACCTTACAATTAAATAATCATATGTTACCCAACTAGATTGTAATGATTGTAAATGAACCATTGAATATTACAAAATTAAGGATAAAATCGTTTTTAGAATGTTAGGTTTAAGCTTTAACATCATAACTTTAGTACTATCTTTCTAACTCTAATGATCAGAATCCAGGTTGCTTCAGAAATATGTACTGGTGTTACTGTAAACCGTTTAGTTGTAGAAACCATAATTCCTTTCAATTTGTGCTTTTATTTTTTCGAAAGGTGCCACTCCTAATAGGCTACTGTAGAGAAGATGGAATGTGGCTATCAGTAGATTCGAAGACGTGCGTTTCGTCCTATTTGTAACATGTCAGCTGGATGTACATGGGTCCCAAAGTTGGTTAATAACCTTGTTGAGTCGTAGATGCAAAACGCTGAGATACTCCATACTAGGGTGATGTAACTGTCCAGTGCTTTTCACTTGTAAGGCCCTGGCTCAGTCACTAGTTCACTTGGCTATCAACTCGTATGTTACGAGTTCGAACCCTGTTCCACCTACTTTGATTTACCATCCGGTTAGTATTGTCAGCCTTCTAGGAACTGAAGTGCAGCTTGAAGCTGCGTACCGAAAATCTGCACTTGGTACATGGATGAATTAACCAATTTGTTTTTTCTACAATGTTTCCCATCTCTTTTTTAAAATTTAGGTCCTACTCTCTACGAGATCACCCTTTTCATTAATTCAAGCTATTTGTTTTAAACAAGATGTGATTCGATGCATAGTTGGATTGATTACACAATTTCCTGAACTATCACTTACATTAGTCTTACACAAATTTGACGCAAATAATTATATGATAGGCGATGGTGATGATGTCAGCGAGAAATTAATCAATTCAACAACACCTACACCATCATTTTTATCTGCCTTTGAAGTAATATTAGACGCTACAAATAGGGATCCATTTAATTCATTCTGTGTTGAATGGTCTATTCTTCTGATTCGGTTAATAGTAAAATCAAATCATGCACACAGTTCACAAGTGATATCCATTGTATCTTCAAAATTGAAAGGATTAAATATATTAAATGATTAAATATTGAACAATTGAATATGAGTAAAATAATGACGAATAGATAGTTTTTATTTTGTTATTGTACATTGTGATTTATGTAGTTGTATATATGTATCACATAAAATAAATGAAGTTTAATGAGTGAAATCATGTTTTTCTGTTTGTTTGTTTTTCTCATGGATGTGTAACGCTTGTTCAACAATTGTCTAGATATTATGTAACCCATCAATTACTAGTTTATTTATTCAACATTGAACTTTACTGTTTTTTTTGTGAGGGTCCATGAAATAATTATTTATTTATTTATTTCAACACATAGATATTGGTACAAGGAGGCACCAAATACATATGCGCCACACAAATCTCATTCGATATGTGTGAGGGCTGTGATACTGCCCCGGGTGCCCAAACCGAAGCAGGTGGTTTTCTTAGGGGGCCACTCCCCGAGCCTTCGAACTGAGTGTCTAATCCACAAGGCAGTGGAGCATCGTAGGGAGATGCAATCCCATGGAAGCCGGTGACCAACGATTGGTCCATACACCATTTGTTCCCGCAGGATGCTGGAGCCCATGTGCACCATCAGTTTGGAATCCAGTTAAAGCGCCGGACATTCGCTTTTCGTCCTCTCATTTTCGTGCAGAACACCCCTGCCACAAGAAGGCAGTGAGTAGGACTTCCCTGTCAGAGGCTCTATACGCGTGACCATGTGAGAGCATTTCGAGAGGGAGAGCGGACTCCCCCCATTCTCGGCCGTACCAGGGCATTTGGGGGCAGTTTAGGATGTCGAACAGTGTTTATCGCTTAATAGTTTCCCTGTTGAAATATCTGTGACTATAAAACCGGGAGTTTTCCAAAATGAGAATGTAAGACAAGGAATATCCGATACTTTAAATTTACTACTATGAGACTAGATTTCGTAAAATATCTTACAGACTGTCTTAAATCACCTAACTGATAATCTGTATAGTAATCAGTTGTTTTTTGTATTCAAGAAAGTCGGTTAAAAAGTATGGATCAGTTGACAGTATTGTGTGTGTATGTTCATTCAATTAACGCATGAGTAAATATCTATTTCTTTTTGCTTGTAGTCACTGTGACTCATAACTACGATTGGTTCAGTAATGATAGACAAAACAAACCACTGTAGTCTCTCATGATGGCTTAAAAATCTCTTAAGACTTTCATGAATTCCTGGTAGGTGTTTTGTGATAAGAAGTCTTTTTTTTCAAGTGTATCCAATATTCCAGTTAGCGTCTGACATGTCTTATCGTTTTGAACGGTACTTGTTATATCTGATCGTCACTGATTATTATGACGGAAACACTTATCACTAATACTCGAAACGAGGCACCTCTGCAATTTTAACGACGCGAAAGTAAAAACACAAAGACTGGTATAACTGAAGATTTATTAACCTTCAAAACACGAAAACGACGATGAAATCACATATATGAAAAATACTTAGAGTTATAACAAATCACATGCTGAGCATAGTTCATATCAATGGAATACAAGAATATCGTATATTATACAGAATAAAAGATCGTAAGAGAGAAACAAAACCGAATGCTGCACTGAATGATCATTATACCGAATCAGAACGGAAGGAATCTTGAATAAAACTCATAATGAGTAAATCAATCGAATTTCGATTTTTCTTCTCGTCATATCAGTATCTTATAGATTGCAAGAGTAATGTAAACTTTGGAGAGTTGTCTGTATTCTTTTTTGTTGTTGTTGATGAGAACATTGAAAGTGTACGGTTGTCTATACTTTTGAATTACCATTTTAAAGAGAGTTCTCATAGAACATAAGATGATGAAGTAGCCAAAGAACCTGACTTCTTAAAAAAGCGTTTATAATAAAAATAGCCATAAAACTTGTGTATCGTTATTACTTACTCACTTACTTACGCCTGTTACTCCTCGTCAAGGAGCATAGGCCGCTCAAAAACATTCTCCATCCAACTCTGTCCTGGGCAGTCCTTTCCAGCTCCTTCCAGTTCCTATTCATCCTTTTCATATGTGCTTCTATTATCCGACGTAATGTGTTCTTAGGCCTTCCTCTTTTCCGCTTCCCTTCACGATTCCAAGTTAGGGCTTGTCTCGTGATGCAGTTTGATGATTTGCATAATGTATGTTCTATTCATTTCCAACGTCTTTTCCTAATTTCTTCTTCAACTGGAAGCTGATTTGTTCTCTCCCAGAGAAGGATACACATAAAACTTATGTAGATTTTTGATAAGGATAAATGATTTTGTAAAGTGTTATTTTTGAAATCTTAGTTCACATATATAGTAGACATTATGGATTTAATGGAAATGATACAATAATATGTAATGATTATTTATACTTTTACAGAACAAGAAGAAAGCATATACCATCTCATCATTACAATATGCATTATAGACAATGTTATAAATTCATTTCGACAATAATCTTGAATCATAATCAAAATGTATTCCTTTGCCAAATCATTAATAATAATAATAATAATAATCGATTTTGTAGTTCATTGACTTCTTCTATCCAATTAAATCATTCTTTGTCAACAATTTCATCTAAGGAAGAATTATGTCCAACATGGATTACTAGTAAATATCTACCAAATGATTGGTTACTAAAACAATTTTCTAATCCATTTATATTAAATAATTTCAAAAGTTTAATTGTATTATGTCAATATGAATCAAAACTAGGTCGTTGGCGTACAATGAAATCATTATGTTCTAAAAATGATAATAAATTAGTTAATTCAGAATCATTATTAGATAGTTTATTTTTAAATGTTTATCAAAAAGAATTAAATATCAACGCTAAAACTGGTATTCAAATGATACACAATGTATGTAAATATAATTTCAGTGAACAAAGTAAGTGATATTATCAAAGTTATTTAACTAATTCCTTGTGCTCTTCTTTTTTTTGTTTGTTATCTGTTCGTTCTTTATTCGATTATATCTGGTACTTTGATGCCCTGGTACGATCGAGAGTGGGGAGAGTCCGCTCTCCTTCTCGAAATGCTCTCACATGGTCACGCGTATATAGCCTCTGACAGGGAAGTCCTACTCACTGCCTTCTCGTGGTGAGGGTGTTGTTTACGAAAATGAGAAGACGAAAAGCGAATGTCCGGCGCTTTAACCGGATCCCAAACCAAATCATTGGTGCACATGGGCTCCAGTATCCTGCGGGAACAAGTGGCGTATGAACCAATCGTTGGTCACCGGCTACCATGGGACTGCATCTCCTTACGATGCTCCACTGCCTTGTGGATCAGACCCTCAGGTCGAAGGCTCGGGGAGTGCCCCTCTAAGAAAACCACCTGCTTCGGTTTGGGCACCCGGGCAGTATCACAGCCCTCACACATATCGAATGAGATTTGTGTGGCGCATATGTATTTGGTGCCTCCTTGTTCCAATATCTATGTGTTAAAATAAATAAATAAAACTTTGACATTGTAGTCGGATTTTCCTAACGTGATAACTCAACCAATCTGCATTGGTTGGATTATTTGTCTTCTGAAGCTATACCATTCCAGGCAGGTCAGTCGGATAATGATAAGACCAGAAGTAGAAAATGTAAAATCATAGGGGTAGGTAGTACTACCGAATGTGTCGGATTGTGGTTTCAGTAAGGTGTTTCCACTGGATAATCAGCATCTACATTAATTTTGCTTATACACAAAGGAAGGTTAAGTTAGAAAAAATCGATCCTATAAGTAGTATACCACACCTTTCCCCCCACGTACAAGTGGTACTGTTGGTGATGAGTTAAAAGTCCATAGCTAATATATCAAAAATACTTAAAAAAGGTTATGGATGTTTAAACTCAAGTAACTTTCCTGTGGACTATGCATTCTCACTCCCTGGACGTTTTTTCCTTTTCATCCATCTCAAGAAGTTATCCTTGTACGGTATAGGCAACTGGGAAGAGATAGCCGCCAACATAAATATCTGTTTGACTGACTCACTTCGTTTCTCTCACTTCATCCTTGATTTTCTTATCTTCTGTCCTCCACTCTATTATTCTTTTTCGCTTTCGTCTTTTGGCCGGTATTTCTTTCTGTTTCTCAGCCATCTTCTATGTATTTTTCACTGACACGTGTTCTGGCATCTCGTTTCCTTTCTCCCTCGAATCACTTCCCTTCATTTTTTATTTCTTTCTTTTCCTTCATTTATTGTTTCTTTATCGACACAGATTCTTCCAGTTTAATAGTTTTAATTCACTACAGTTAATTAGACTCATTAGGTTTATTCTTCTGTATAACTTCGCTTTCGATTAATGTATTGATATTTGGTTGTTAGTTTATGAATTATATATTGTGGCAGTTATTATTTACTTGTTTTGGTATTTGATATGATGAGAAACAATGAAGCTTTCTTCATTATAACATAGATTTGTTCACCTATTCATAATACCATAGTTGTATGTTAGATAGCTTAAGGTAGTCAAGAGAAAACCTATGTAACAATACGAGAACTTAAGAAAACGATAAAATTCGAAACTATCTTATTCATTATTTTTATATGAATTCTTACTATTTAATTACTGAATAACTAGTATGTTTCCTAATCTCTGGTGCAATGTAGTCCGGTATGTCTGTTTATAAATCGATACGTACATTGAACAATAATGAAAAGAATATAAGTATGTCTGGTGTCTTCTTCTAGACTCTTGATAGGCGATCGGTCGAATATTATTACAGAGTGTCAATGATTAGTAAACCTGAAACGGAATACAACGATGGTGTAGACTAATGGTCCATCATCATCAAAATATACTGTTTATGCTGTTCAGATAGTCTGGAGACAAAATATTATGATGAGTAACAAATATTCATCGAAATTTTTCAAACCTTCGATGAAATTCTGGTACTGTAGTGCGATTGATTTCTCACAAATTTACGAGCTCATGGATGCACCACATACGAGAAAGTTAGCCACAAAAGAACTGTCGAGTTGAGGAAAGATTGAAATCACAATCTATGAAGCTTTTTGATTAAAATCAGAAAAATCATATAAA